GGGGTATCTTGGGTGGGATACAAGGCTGAAGATAGCCATAGAAGCTGCAAAAGGCCTGTGCTACCTGCACCATGATTGTTCTCCCCTAATACTCCATCGAGACGTCAAGTCCAACAACATTTTGCTCAACTCTGATTATGAGGCTCATGTAGCAGATTTTGGGTTAGCCAAGTTCTTGCAAGACACAGGGACTTCAGAGTGCATGTCTGCAATTGCTGGATCTTATGGCTATATTGCTCCAGGTACATCTTTCATTCATAACACTTTTAGTTTTGAATTAAATTGGTTTCACAAACTTCCAATACACACTACCTCTGAGAATCCTGATTGGGATCTAAGCTTCACTTTCTCTAAAACCTAGAAAGAGAGTAGCTTTTCCTTTTTCGCATTGATCACTTTAGTTGGGAAAGGGATTCCTCAAATTTCACAGAATTCCACATACATTGACATATCAAAAAGACCTGGCAAAGGGGTCCACTTCAAACTACGTAGTCCTCAAAATTTAAAGTTTAAGTTGTTAATAGTGCTTAGTCTTACACTTGTACACCACTCATTTATACACTTTCTTTCCTATGTGAGACACATTTGCTCGTCTAGAAGTAAGATATGTTGAAATTGAGTTCCCTCACTAATCTTTCATCACCATTTGACAGAGTATGCTTACACATTGAAAGTTGATGAGAAGAGTGATGTATATAGCTTTGGAGTGGTGCTGTTGGAGCTGATAACAGGACGGAGACCAGTAGGTGATTTTGGAGAAGAAGGCATGGACATTGTTCAGTGGAGCAAGAATCAGACCAAATCCAACAAAGAAGGGGTGGTGAAGGTACTGGACAAGAGACTAAGTGCCATTCCATTAGAAGAAGCAATGCAGGTTTTCTTTGTGGCAATGCTATGCGTTCAAGAACGTAGTGTTGAACGACCCACCATGAGAGAAGTCGTACAAATGCTTGCTCAAGCTAAACAACTAGATACATTTCACATACAATGACCAATGAGACCAGACTGGGATAAGTTTAGCAGTGAGGCAAACTGTTTTTGTATACAAGGTTTTTTAGCTACTTTCTATTTCATTTTTTTTTTACCTTTCTGTTTTTGTTGATCTTGACGTTTGGCTTGTTAGGTAACAAAACTTGCAAGAGTATCATAGTGGATGTACTGATGTTTGTCGTGGTCAAGTTGGCTCCATTATTGTGTCATGATTAATTTGGAATATGGTACAAAGAAATGAAATGATGCCAAGTTTCTTGATTAGCCCATACAAAGCAACCCCGTACGGTTGCACCACCTTTGGGGACAATATACATGACACTTTTCGTGGTACACTAAACAACATAAATGTCTATAGTACTGTATACAGTTTGGGAATTAGCACTAATAAACCAACCCAAGAAAACAACAGGAGCCATTGAAGTGATGCTTTCTGATTAAAATTAATAATAATAAGCTGTTAATGGTATTCTGATAAATAACAGCATTGAGAACTATCTTAATCAGCAATGGTTGCCTCAAGAACAGCAAAGATCCATTACAAAATAAAAGCAACAATGGTAAACAAAGATTGATCCAGACATCTTTACTCTCAGTCTAGAGTTGTACCACAAGGGATGTATGGATGTACAGAATTATCGAACCATTTTTCTTAAAGCAAATCTTTCCAACATTCAACTGGCAACCTCATATCTAAATGTAAGCAAGAAAAGAGCGCCACCACATGCTTGCTGAAAGAGTTTATTACGAATTAGGAGTAGCCTTTCGGCTCCTCTTTATAGCATTCTTCGAGACAGCATTTGAAATCTCTCCTTTTCGTTTGGAGTTGCTCTTGGTGGGGTGGTCCGCACCTTCAGAGCACTTCCCAGCTAATCTTAAAGTATTATGCACAAAAACCTTTAACCTCCACAAAGTTATTTCACTCTGCGTAGTCAAAGAACAGGGAAAAAAAGTTTAGAACCTAAGCCATGATTTATCAGAACATAAGAACCTAAATACGATGGACTATATGTGAAAAAAAAAAAAAGAAAAAAAGAAAAGGAAAACAACTTTAATGAAAGCAGTAACCTGGGCATCTATGTCAAGGTCCACCTCTTGCGCTGTTGGTTGGAACCCTGGGTTGTTTTCAGCAACTATCTCCAATGCCTTACTCAGATCTTCTGGAGATAATCTGGTAAGAGCCGTTCCAAGTTTCTTCTTCTCGTCAGTAGACATTTTTCTACATTGACACATCAACAATCAACATGCCTTGCTAAAATGCAATATCAACAGGCCAGGCACAAAACCAACAAAACAAAAATGTGCAAGTGTCATGAGAACCAAAACAGTTTCCGGGTACAGCAATAACCAATTTATGAAACTAATATACTTTCAAACTGGACCTGAATTGTTTATTTATTTACATTAAATGCAATTGAAGGATCCAAGTTACTCAAACTTAAAGGAACCAAAAAGACTCTCCCTCCATCCCTTCCATTCATGCTTTAAAATTGACAACTTACTATCTGTCTCTTTGATAAATTGACAAGATGCCTAATCCTTCCTTTACAACTCTTATTCTAATCTAAACGCATTTACGTTAATAGTAAGTTTTCTCATTGTCAAGGAATTTAAGTGAAGGAAGCCAATAAGTGACATTAAGATATTCACAAGTAACTTCTAAGCACAACTAAGCTGATACATTCAGATGTCTTGTTAAACAAACCTGCACTTTTGGATAACTGTTTGCCTCAGGTTCTCCAATTGCATATCAATCTCAAAAAGCTGAAAGAATTTGAAATTGTATCATTCAGTAAATCTTAGATGTGAGACTAACCTTTACATCACATACCACAGTCAACTTAAGTTAGTTATTTCATGTTTTATAGAGAGGTCTCAGAATTTCGACATACTTCATTACTTAACTCTCTAGCCATGTTGGCATGGACCACCTCTTGTGCAAGCTTCATATCTATCTGTGACTTTGCTTCCTCTTCTTCCCATCTTTTTTCCTGCAAGTAATTAAAAGAAAAGACTCTACCATCAATGGATAATTGAACAATAATGCAGGATGATCCTGGAGCATTCCACAGCTAAACAAAGACTACTAAACAACCAAAGAGGTCCTAGATTAATAATAAATAATGTACTTCTGAAAGTTACAACAATAAGACAGGGACTTACTTCCTCAGCAACTTTAGGCAAAAGTTGTAGCCACTTCTCTTCAAATTTTTCCAATAAAGTTTTGGCCATTATATGGACATCATTTCTGTCGTCATTATATTTCATTGCATTCTTAAAAACCAATCTAACATCAGCATAGATCTCCCGGACATTCTTGTACCCATTGCCATCTTTAGCATCCATCTTATTTTTTATTGTACTGAAGTCCATGGGCTTCTCAATAACCTGAAGTACACAGCCCCGTTAAAATATTAGTTGAAAACACCTAAAAGTAAAAAAATTGATGAATAAAATATCAAGACTTAGAAATGAATGGACTTTGAATGGCAGGTTGTATTTATAGTTGATGCATATGAATTTAGTATCTTGACAAACTGTTGTGGGGGACTTTGTGAACCCATTGCCTTCAGAATATGGTAAAGTTGCCCCTGAAACAAAGGAATCATCTCTGCATTTTTCAGTGAAATGACAAATTAGTAGAATTTTACCAGAAGAAATACCGACGCCAGGTCAGAGAGTGGTTTTTACTTTTTATTTTGCTAAGTGAGATAGTACAATTTTTTTCATAGAGGGAATGAGCTACAGCATGCTGACTGGCTCAGAAAAAAGAGGCAAGCAATGAATAGTTTTTACTTTTTATTCAGCCACATGTGAGTATTAAGTCTTTTTGGGATAGGATATAATATGGGATACATATAAACTTCCTTTGACAATGCTTTGCATAGACTTTTTTCACAAAACATCTTATCTAAAAATGTAAATTTATAATTCTTAATTAATTTTATATACTTTTACTAATTTTAATTAATATTTTATATATTTTTAGGATAGTAAAAGACAAAAAAAACTACAGCTATAGCACAGCACAGCACTAACAAATGAAGCCATAGTGTTCACCTAGCCCAACTAAGACTGCAAGTGCATCTAGGGTGCCCTTTTAAAAATGCCAAACCCTTTCAAATTCTATGCATGCCAAGAATATTTCTAGTTCTAGATGCCAAAAAGAACAGAAGCTAATATTTTTTCTTACAATTCTCTTTAATAAAAATTTAGAAAAAAAATATCCTGTTTGCAAGTATTCAAGTAAATCAATATGAGAGAGAGGGAGAATGGGGAAATAACCTCCCAAAACTATTTTTCAAAAATACCATGCTTTCTTTTCACAGCCTGTGCACCTTGCGGATTAATGCACATATGTACACCAATTTAATAAATTTATTACCAAAAATCAGTCAGAAAATTTTGAAAGGAATAATAAGCCTTACCTCATAATAGTCATGTAAACCAAGACCATCGACATCAACAGGATGCATAAAAGGATGTGCCCACTTGTGCTGAGTGATCTGATAAGTCAAACAAACCAGAAATTAAATGAGAAATGGTTGGCATCATTGTTTGAATTTCAAAGAATGGGTCTCATTAAGTAACAATTGCCGTAGTTCAATTCTAAACAAGAGCAACATGCATACATGTCGTAAAATCTTTTCAAATTGGCGCATAAGTTCCTGCATTCTCTTTGCAGCAGCTGCCTCTCTATTGAATGCATCTTGTTGCTGCTTCTCAATGCAACTAAGGTGTTTCTCCTTGACCTTGTCCTTTACAACAGAACTACTCTTCGGAGTATTCAGTTGTGTATCATTTGCAGTCCCGTAGAACCGCTCAATTTCATTGACTCTTTTCTCAAGCTGCATGTCAAATAATATGTCAAGACAACATTATTGTGAACAGTGAACTAGAGTCAAAGTACTCTTGGCAAAGTCCAAACCGTCCCAACCTTTGAGCTTGCATGATCAATTGAATTATTCAATTCTGATTCACACGAACAGATGTAGGGAGCAAGCAATATCAAAACAATCCCACATTAGAAACATCCCCTTACACCCTATATGAGTTATCAATTCAAAATAACCCTTAAAGATCATTTTTTTTTCTTTGAGTTCATGTGATGTTTTCTCTCCAGGTGCTTACAAGAACACCCTGACAATCAAACCCCAAACTGGGCAAACTGCCACTGACTAAGCTAACAACTATCATCCAAGTACTAAAGATCAAGCACAAATTTTCAAAATTGAAACTTCTGCTTAAACAAAAGTAAAAAAGGAGTGGCCTTTAGGTAGATAAGCCTGACCTTATTCACTTTACTGAAAATTCCATCAAGGCAATGCTCAAAACCCTCCACATTGGCAGCGTTATTTTCAACCTTCATGGAACCCATATTTTCAGCCTCTGGAGTTGAATTGGTTACTGGTCACCTCTGCCAAAACCGATTTCAGTGCAATTACAGAAACAGAAATCCATGATTCTCCTTGGAGTACAACATTATAAGCTACGGATCATGAACAGGGCCACTTAGTTGCATGGACTTGAAAATTAGAAGTTCTTAACGACGAAAGGCTAAGGATCAAGAACACGGCCGGAATTACGTTACCTGAAGCTGCAGAGACGTGATCGGAGACGCAGCAGGGGGACAAGGATTGTTCGGCCGGAGAACAGTGTTTTGAAGGAGAAGGAATGAATCAGTGAACGTTGGGCTTGGGATTGAGACTAAGCCCATAAAACTTTATAGGCCGGTAATGGCAATTAGACTCGGAAATTGGACTAACACGAGATTAAACCCTCAACTTATTTTTTTGTAGCTTTTGACCCCCAAACTAAAACTTACTCCTCTTTTTTTTTTTTTTTCTTGTTGGATTTAGCTTCACCAACCTTCAAACTTGTTTTTTCAAGAAGGAAAACGATCTATATATATATTTTTTTTAATGTGGGATAGAATTATTGACAAAAAATGTGGGATTTTTTTTTCTCACCTTAATTACTATATTAAATATGTTATAGTGAATGAGAATAGAAATTTTATAAGTAGTTAAATGTAAACTTTATATTTTTATACTAGAAAATATTACTTCACAATGTGAGGATAACTATTATTTTAAGTGCCATTTATATATATATATATATATATTTAAGCATGATCATTAAGAAACTTCAATAGAACTACACTACAAAATATTATAAAAGGAAAAAAAAATTAGGAAGCAGAAAAAAAAAGGGTTATATAGAAGTTGTATTGAATTATTTTTCTACTGATCAAAAATAGCCTCAATAGGTAACTTGAAGTATACAAATAAACTCAAATCAAGTTTTAAAACAACAAATTAACTAGCAAAAGTTAAAAAGAGAGGAAGAGAGAATCTCACAATATGAGTTTACTACATAAAATGGAGACAAAAGGAAAAACAAAAAAGGAAAAAAAAGAAGCAATGAAAGAGATATAAGAAGCGTTGAAGAGGCAAAGGCAGAGAGTTTCGAGATTCCTTTGGGATTCTTTAGTAGTCTTTGCATTCTTTAGATTATAGGTTAAATGCTAAATTTGGTCCCTTAACTTTAGTGAGTTGCACATTTTTGGTCCCTCAATAATTTTTTGCACTTTTTTTATCCTTCAACTATAAGAAATGCACTCCGTTAGTCCTTCTGTCAATTTAGACCGTTAACTACGACACGTGGTATTTTTTATAATTTTTTTGATGACATGGCAGAAACAATTTAAAAAAGCACTGATTTAGAATTTTTTTTAAGGCACATCATCGCCAACTCATAACCAATTTTACCTTAATAAAAAAAATATAAAATTACAAATTTACCCATCTCCTTTTCTTCATCCATCTTCTTCCCCTCTTTCGATCATCTTCTTCCTTTCTTTTTTTCTTTTTCTTTCTTCCTCTTCTTTCTTCCTTCTCTTCCTCTTCCTCTGTCTGCTAGGTTCAGTGGAACCCAGCAATTGGGTTCACCGAACCCAGCAAACTGGGTTCCACTTGGGTTCGAGGAACTTAGCAACTGGGTTCCACCGGAACCCAACTCGGGTTCTCAGGTTCTCGGGTTCGATGAACCCAGTTTGCTGGGTTCCTCGAACCCAGCTGGAACCCA